AGCCAAGGAACCCTATCCTGTCTATTACTTTTTATGTAATTTTCTTTTATAGTATAAGTAATTACTAATGCGTATCGTTATGAATTTTATTTTATAGACACAATGCCAATTTTTAGGGCAAGTTATGACAAAATGAGGTTCTTTTATTTGCTTAAAGATGTGTCATATTGAGTATCGTTGCAAATTTAGAATGTTTTGACCTATCCATCTTAGTTTTCAATTTCGAATCCGCTTGATATTCACATTTTTTTTTTCTGTTATTAATTTCTTTTAAGTTTCATAAACCTTTTCAGTTTCCTTTCTCTTGTATTGTGTGTCGAAGGAAAACTAGTCTACTGAGCCTGAACGCCTACATTTACTGTGTCCTCTCTTATCTCTTCAGGTATTCTGCCGGTTTACAAAACAATATTACGTAAGAAAAAATGTTCCCTGTGTCTAGTGATGTTTATATTTCAGACGACAAAGGTTTGTTTTTATTATTGTTACGATTTTTTTTTTTTTTTTTTTTTTTTCTTTTAGGTGGTGAGGCACTAAGAAGTAAAAATAAACGAAAGTAGCTTAGATTTAATGTCATTTCATGATTTTTAGCTTCGAATAACCAACATCAACAAGTTACTTTAACTTCATTTACTTAAAAAAAAAAATTCCCTAGCCTCCCACATTCTCATAATAATATTTTGTGACAACATTTTTTAACCCCCAACCCCCCCCTCCCCCCCCAGCCTCTCCCTTCCGTCCTCTAAATAATTTTTGAGTGGTTACTGTCCTCTCTGAACCTCAGTGTGGTCCAGACTTCGCTTCTTTGCATTATTGATTGTCAGTGTTTCGGGCCAGAGTCTGCTCTTTTTTAAAGTTTCGTCCATTTTCAGTTCGACTTTCGTTTATTTCTTTTTTTACTTTATTTTACCTATATTCATCTATTTATCTAATTATTTTTTATCTATCTGTGTGTGTGTGTGTGTGTGTGTGTGTGTGTGTGTGTGTGTGTGTGTGTGTGTGTGTGTGTGTGTGTGTGTGTGTGTGAATGATCAGAAATAAGTTACCACGAAAATTGACATCAAAAGGGTATTCCATTGGTCTTTATTGTGCTTGAAATTAGATTATCAAGCAGATAGGCTATCATAACTTAATTCAAAAAACGTCCTTTCGATCGATAGGAGCACTTTACGCTCATAATCTAACCTCAGATTGTTGGGATTTCTCTCTCTCTCTCTCTCTCTCTCTCTCTCTCTCTCTCTCTCTCTCTCTCTCTCTCTCTCTCTCTCTCTCTCTCTCTCTCCTGATATCTATATGTGTCTCTTAATCTCTCGCATTTTCTCATCTTTTTACTTAATCACCTAAAAAGATACAGCAACAGCGAAAAAAATAAAATATATCAAATAAAATTAATTATTTTCATTAATATTCAACAATATTCAATATAACGATATAGCAGTTTTTCGTTTATTACAATCCTTAAAGCATAAGTATTATATTTACTTGAATAATTTATTAGTTATGCAACGAAATCCTCTTAATTTCACTCAAAACTTTCTCTCTTTTATTTTGTTTCTTCATGTCATATTCTCTCAAGATTTTATATTTCCATTCCCTGTGAATATCATAGAGCATTGAGAGAAAAAAATAAGTGCTTACAGAAAGCATTGTGAAAATTTTCCTCAGTATATTCACAGCATCAACACAAATACACATAAATGAAATTCTTACCTTCACGAGTAGGCCTATCGTAATGAATCGGTGCCTCGTGTTTGGCAGAGATGCTATTAATCGATGTCTTGAGGATAATATGTTGCGGAACTTCAAGATTCCAAGGAGGTCGTAAACATAGCACTGCGCATGTGCCAAAGGCTGCTGGTGTGACGTAATAGGGTGTTCTGTGTGATAATGCTTATTACCAGATTTAGAAGAGAAAGGGCAAAACACTGCTATTAACTTTCGCGCAGTCGTGCAATCGTGATGCAATAAAGCAGGAATATATATATGAAATAGATACAGAACAGAGACAGAGACAGAGAGAGAGAGAGAGAGAGAGAGAGAGAGAGAGAGAGAGAGAGAGAGAGACAGAGAGAGAGAGAGAGAGAGAGAGAGAGAGAGAGAGATGGCGTGTGGAAGAGAGAGACTGACAGACATATAAACAGAGAATGAGCGAGACGTAAAGAAACTGACGAGCGGATATACAGAGAAAGGGATATGGGGCAGAGAGGCGGAGAAAGAGAGAGAAACACAGAGAGTGAAAGAGAGAGAGAGAGAGAGAGAGAGAGAGAGAGAGAGAGAGAGAGAGAGAGAGAGAGAGAGAGAGAGAGAGAGAGAGAGAGAGAGAGAGAGATGGAGACAGAGAATTGGGGCACCTACCGCTTGCCCTAGAGAGGTGCGATCTGCAATTAAGTCTTGTCCCGTGAGATCACAGGAACCGCCCACTTCCGGTTAACGGCTGGGTTGCCCTCAGAGGCGGTTTGTGGTCCTTTGCTCCTG